TTTTACATAATAAATAATTTAGCGGGGCTGAGTAATAGCCTCGCCTACTAAGTACGTCAAACGTAAGCCGTATAATCGGATAGCTTGATGCAATAGCGATTAAAAAATGCGCTCAGGTTACATCCTGAAGTAGTGTGTTGATAGCAATGTCCGACAGTGATAACATTTAATACACAAGGAAACATGAGTTTTACAGTCTGATGTTTATTGATAGCTTATACCAAAAGAAATTAGTTCAAACATTTTACAATCACAATTATTTCTCTACATTTTAGCTTCTCAGCTAACTTTCTGCTTATGCGTGAGATAATCAAACTGAAGCGTGTGAGCATGAGAAATTATGGGCGTGTGTCACACACTTAATGCGTGAGACTTGGCATCTATGCCACTTGAGGAGTGAATACTATAGATTTCTATTGCAGAATGTATAGTTTTCGCTTTAAAATGCTTATTTTCTTCTCTTGGACCTAAACAAACCTTGTTTCAGGAAAGGAATATTTCACATGAATGCTTCAAGAAGTAAATTTGAAGTTTTTAACCATGAAATCGCAGAGAAAACCGAAGTTTTGCATCGTAATAATGCGTGTGACTGTGCGAGGACTGAAGATGTGAACGCCAGACTCATTAATGGAGGCCAAAATGACAAGGATTAGGTCATATTCAAGTGTTGGATCATTTAGTGAGGAATACTGATTCAAAGTACAAAGCAGCTTGACTAACTGAACAAGTTAGCGGGCACAATTAACAGCGATATTTACTGCTGACAAATGACAATAATAAAACAGGTAGGTATGTTTTGCATTTATAATAATATGACCTTTGTCATGGCTGTCGAAACTTAAATCCTGGTTCATACATTGTTTGTTTAGTACTAAAGTGATGGGATAATTTTATATTTGAGTTACATGAAACTTTTATTAATTTGTGTGTGGCAGACGATAACTGAAAAAAGCTTAACTCCCTTGCATTTGAGACATTCAAACTAAATGGATAACCCCATGTGGTGGTCATCAAGTTCTGTGAATAATGAAGGCATATTAGATTGCCCTGATATTTTAATTGCAGGAGTTGGCAAGACATAATGCTGACTTAACAGCCAAGAGCATTGCAGCACTCATGGCAGCAGATTTCCTTGTGGACTGTTTGTGCAGTTGATGCTCCAATCAATGTAATAGTTGGCAGCTTATTTGTATTCAAGGATATTGGAATAAACTTGTGAATACTAATACTGGTCAAGTTAAAGCTGCAATATTTAATTACTATCGTATTTGCTTATTAATGGTCTACTACTTACTACTTACTAATGAAATGTTCATGCAAATTTACATTTGTTCAGTGATTCCTCAACACTTACTCCCTTCACTATTACCCCTTTAGGTCTCATCTCCCAATGCACCTGTTTCCTGTTTGGTAATTTTTATCACTAATACTTCCTTGGCCTGGAAGTATTCAATCTCATGAAACAAGACAGAAGGCTATTTGCTAACTGCTAAAGATTCATGAGAACAAGGCTCCTGGGCCAATCAGGGATTTAACACATGAGTATCAAAATGGTTTATTTTCTTCATTTTGACCAGCTAAACCCACAACACTCTGAATCTACAATATTTCTCCATTATTTAAATGGCAGAAATACATATTAAAATGCAGATGGAATTGACAACAACACAAGTTGATGAAGATCTTTAAGTACTATTTGAAGCACACATAGGAGTGTTTTATCAGATATAAAACGCAAGGCGCAGCTGAGCGTTCTATATCTGATTAAACATGACTACAAGTGTTTAAATGGCTTAAAAACGACTCATCTTATGAGTTCATTGGCGAAGTAATTTTAAAAATAAACATTGTCTAAGCCGAGAAAATCAAAGTTAAAGTTTATGTAAATCAACATGAATCTGTATCACATATACAGATACGACACGCTTATGATTTTTCTTTGTGTTTTCTTCATGAATTATTAATGAGTTTTTTAATGTAATTTAAAAAATTCATTAATAATTCATGAGGAAAATACAAAAGAAATGAATGTTTAATCAATGTTTGTAAATTGGATAAAGATTTGTCCTGATTTACATAAACTTCAGCTTTGATTTTCTCTGCATAGACAATGTTTATTTTTAAATTACTTCTCCAATGAACTCAGAAGATGGGTAATTTTTCAAGTACGATAAAACATTTGCATCCGATCTGTATCTGATATACAAACTCTAGCCTTCGGCTCGAGTTTGTATATCAGATACAGGTTGGCTGCTCATGTTTTATCTAGTACATAAACTAACACAACAACTACAGGTGCATATTGATTGCTGTTGCTATTGATGACTGATGGGCAAAGCTTGGCATTTACAATCTTGTGTTGAATTTGTAGAGTCTTCAGTACAACTGAAATACAATATACAAAAATTATAGTGAATATTTTCAAACCAATTTCAGGGCTTTGGCCACAATATGTACATGTATTGTACACATTTCATTTTGCATTTGAAACAAATACAGTACACTACATCAGATAATATCAATGACATGGCTTTCTGTTTGTTTGGTTTCATCCTACAACTCAGCCACCCTGCATGAAACCTCCAAATTCCAAACTGAAATAGATTGGCCTGAGTGCGCATTCCATTCACTCCACGCCAGATATATCTGGCAGGTTACAAAATTGCTGGTGTATTGGCGTGAGATCACTCAAAAAGAAGTGACAAGTGTAACTACAGTAAGTTTGTGCCTGAATTGATTGTCATACAGTATTCATCAGTATTCGTACTGTCAAGTGTTATCCTCTTTAAATAAAGTCACTTACTTAGTATAACCTCAAGAATATGATATTATTAACAGTATATAATAAAACATGTCAGGTTAGCCATTTTAACATGGATTTTGGTCCCCAAAGTTAAAATCTCCAATGTATTGGCGTGAACTATCGCATATGTTAGCGCATCTCCGGTGTAGTTTACGTGGAATGCACCCTGGCCAGTTGGTCTATTAAAACAAATTTGGCAGGCCAAGCATAAAATGTCAATTACATTTACACTGCACACTAGGATCATGTTAATATGCCGCTTAAAACCTACCTAGTCACCCAAAAACTTAAGTAATTGTTTTAGTACGGTAGTACTAAATGTAATCTGCAGAGTAGAAATGTAAACTTTGTAATCTGCAGAGTAGAATGCTGTGTTCTGACGTTCGGTCAGCTGTGATATTTCGACGGTCAAAAAAAATTATTTACCTGCGATTTAGTTTCTTTCAACATTCAAATGTTGCTCATACTTCTATGATGTGACATTTGTGTGCTTGTTCTTGAAATACCAGATTTGACTTGATTTCTTTGCATACTTAGCAAGTATAAGGCAAAAACTCTGAAAAATGTCAGTTTTACAATAGAAACTATAGTCTTTCACTCCTCAAGTGGGGCCATTCCACATGGCAGCCGGCCTCAAAACATACTTCCAGCTTCAATTTTTGATTGGGCCTTGTATTACGATGCTCTACCACGTCTTAGTGTATATCAATGTGTAGTGCTCTTACAAGCCGTCAACATCCAACTTGTGAAGGCCAACAGGTGTGGTTCCATGCTCTTTTAAAATTTCACTCTTAATAACTCTTTACACGAGCGACTTCAGCATTAGAAACAAGTCATCACACAGAAATGGTATACAGTAAGGAATGGGGTAACCTCCTTGGTAATGGAGATGAAAATATGAACCTTGACCTCCAATAAAGGATCTTTCGCCATATTTTTAATTGTTTCAAATGACTGTGTTTTTGGATCAGGTACTTTCTTTTTTTGAACATTTTCAGCATAGCAAAGAAAATGTGGTAAAAGCTGAATTGCCCTCTCAGCTATAGGAACATTTTCGAACCACCGATGTTTGCAGAATTTTAAGGCGAATCTTGAACAACCAGTTACTTTGGTAAGTCTTCCCGTCATGCTGGGGTATCCTGGAAAAGCTTGAATATGCTTGAGAAAAACCTCTCTAGCTCCCATGAAGTTGAATTTGAGCCTTGTTTGAAAGCACCATGAATTATATGAAGACTACAACTTCCTATGTTTAAGAATGTTCCATTGCCTTTATCAATAAGTTGGCAAGAAAGCATGTCTACAAATTTCCAGTTGACATTAGGGCCATCCATTTACACCTGAAATAATGTCAGGTGTTATTCATAAAACAGTTGCAAATGAAAGTCAAGCCCTTTACCACAATCTTTGTACTCTAAATACCTTTACCTCTATATTTTTAAGTCAATACCTATAGGTGGTGTGAAACCACTCCCCAGGGGCTCAAACAAAGGAATTTTCGCCATGTTGGATGAAATTTAAAATGCAAACAAGAAGAATCATTTGTAAAGTTCATCCAATATGGCTGTGACATATATTGAGAACCAGTCATATCTAACAAACCTAAAACAATTTCCCCAGGTTCAGAGTCCCCGCTCTTCTTCTGATGTGCCATGACCCAAAAACTTTGAGTCCAGTATCTCGTCCCAAAACCGAACACACACATCTAGTTGTTTGTTCTTCATAGCAATATTCATGGACTCATCAAAAAAGAGCACAAACGATTCTTGCTTCTCAATTTTGTCCTTTAAAATACTTTCAAAGTAGGGGGCTAGTCCAAATGAACAAATATAAGCAGATTTTTTCTCCCCACATGTAAACTTCTTTACAGTTTCACTGTCAGGAAACATTACCTGAAATATTTTGGCAACACCTTCATTTGAGTGAAATGAATGATGACACTCAATGGTGTACAGCATCCAAACAATTTCAGCTATTAATGTTTCCTCTTTGGACAAGTATGACAAGACTAACATATCCTTCACTGATGCAGACGATTTGGGGGTTGCTGTGTTTGTGTTCAAGTCATTGGTATTCTTAGATGACGATGCTTCTCCATAATCTTAAACATTTATAAAATTAGTAATAGGCATAGTTTAGTTATTTTCTGCATGAGTTCCACATGTTTTGATCCCTTCATATGACTTTTCAATGCTGCTTCTCCCATATTCGATATGTCAAATGATTTTTGGCAAACAGGGCATTGAGCTTGATGTTGACTAACATCTTGCATTATCCAGTCTTTATATGCCACATTTGTCGTCCAGTTTTCGTTAAATTTACATTTCCCTGGCATATTCCAGCCTAAATTTCAATATTTGGCCCACAATTTACTGTACTTTACATACTTTCAACACTAAACAACTACAGCAATATTGGTAACAGCAGGAGCCAAACTTAATACGCAGGGGCGTCTAGCTTCCTAGTAACAAGAGCTTCCACTTGGGAAAATTGTCTCGGCGTATCACAAGAGGAAGTATGTGGAATCACCATCACCGATCAAAAACGCAAATTTATGATATTTATCTCATCAAATTTCTTGGTGCAATCTTTATTATTGGCTAGAAGTGGGTAAAAATTTGGAAACTGATTAGAAAGTCATGGAATTTTGAGATTTTCCATGACTTTCCATGACCAAAACTGATTTTCCAGGTTTTCCAGACCTGGATTTTCAAATATTGAAATTCCATGACTTTCCTGGTTTTCCATGACTGTAACTTATTTATCCCTTTCATCTACTAGTTATTACATAATATTGTAACACTACGTACCTCCAGCTCTGCTCCAATAGAAATTGTGTTTCCAATGCCAGCAGTCAATGTCATTTGTTTAAATTTGTTCTTTTAACATATGCCAATAATGCTGTCAGTCTATATATAATAATCTATATAGAATAATCTCTTGCAACAAATTTGCCAGTAATTTTCTTATTCACCAGTCATAGAAGAGCCACAACAATGCATTTACATCTCTAGAAGTGTGCAGTTGGGATGGTGCAAACCAAAGTGCATGAGTGCTGAGGTGGGCAGTGGTTGGGCTTTGGACGCTTTTGCCTTTCATCTCAAAACAAACAATTTAGCCCTCTGATGGCCAACCACATGGCCAATAATGCATTTTTAGCTAGTACTGAGAAAAACAGAACATTGAAATTATGAGTAAAATCGTCTGGCATTCAGACAAGCCTAGCAGAGTGGAATATTTAAATAGGCCGCACCTTGCAAGCCAAGGGGTTAATTAAGGACAGTCTGCATGTCAAGTTTTGGTTGTGCCAGTGGTCGGGTTTTATGTTGATATTTATATCTGTCATTATACCATAGATAACACACAATACTGGTTGGAGTTCACTTTAATATTAAGTACTAAAAGTCTAACAAACTGATATTAGAACAAATCAGATAAAATATTTAGCAAGCCAAGGAGTTTAATGCAATTGTTGTAATGATGATCCATTTAAAATGGACATTTTACTTACCACATTTCCACACAATGACCTTTGTCGATTACACAGGCCACAACATTCTTCTGATAGACATCTGATCTTATAAGTTGTCTGCTAACATCAGAAAGGAGATCTTCAGGATGAGCGAAAACTATGCTGGTAAGCCCATTTACTAGAAAATACATGCATGCAGGAACCCTCGCCTTGCTGACAAAACCATTGTATTTTCCGAACATGAAGTATCTAAAGCAGTTGTCATGGTAACACAATAATTTTTAAAGAATATTCTTACAAATGAAAAATTGCCTAAAAATATCACTTTCAATTACAAAATTATCAGTTTCCCAAACATATATACTTTAGGTATGTTATTATACGTAATATAACCTTCAATTTAAGGTAAAATTCAACCACAAACGCTTTGCAAAACGTTTTAAAGTGTTCTTTAATATAATATAAAACTAAACTGCCTTTAGCTTTATTGATAAACTTTGAGTTTGCAATAAAATGATTTAAAATTCTCGCATGCAAATAACTTTGCTTTCTTTTTTATTTAAAAAAATTCAACATAATAAAGGAATCAATAAAGATACACTGAAATTATATGCTATCTTGTTTAGTTGTTTCATATACGCAAAGGCCGTCAGGTTTTAAAACAATAATAAAATCAATACTTCAAACAAACTTACCTTTGTTAACGTCGGCTTCCTTCTTCTAGCCGATTCTTTCGCCATTTCTTTCTTGAAATTTACAAAATCTTACAAAAATGCGAGCAAAAATGAGATATATTTGCAAGAAATTTATCAATCATCAAATCAGGAAATGTTTGCTATTTTGCTGTCGTCATGCAGTTGTTATAATGCAAACTTTAAATTGGACCAATCAGTGTCCGCTATTCATGACAGTCCGCCATATTTTTGAGATCAGTGAGGATGACCACCCACCCAACACCGTTGGTCACCTACGCCTGTGATAATTGATGAATTTTAGACTTCGCTAATGCTTTTGTTTCCCCGGGTGTAAATAGCCGGGGGGAATTAGTACCCTCGCGCAGCACTTTGCGCCATCGGCTCGGGGACAATATCATCTGGCGAATGGATGTCTGCCATATCTTCCTTGTTGTTGAATAGTGTTTCACAATTTTCGTTTTAATAACATGATGGAAGAACACTAGTATTAATACATATTATCTTAGGACTGTGTAGCTGATCCTTGATAATAGACGAAAGAGGGCAACAGCACAATAACAATGTTGATTGTTGTTATTGTCGGTGAGATGTCTGGAAGCAATTGAAATAAAACCGACTTTCCAAATCCAGTGGGCAAAACTCCAATTGTTTAGTTTACATCAAAATTATCAGTCAAATGCACTAAATTATGACTGAATTGAATCAGACTTTACAATAGACAGTACCTACTTAGAAAGAATATGACTATATACTCAGTATTATAAAAATCGTAAATCTTGAAAAGCTAAAATTTTAAACTATTAGAAATGATGAATGAGTTCTGAAATTGTTCTGTCCAAGCTTTGGGAACTAAGAATGTTCTAGACGTTCTCAATTCATATGATGACGTGTTCTTTTCTGGTAGTAAACTATTATATCATTTATGGTCGAAATCACTCGTAGTTTGTAAAATCAATTTTTCACAAATCTTCTATCGGACAGGGTTGAATGATTACAGCGTTTAATTGCCTCAGCATAAGACAATTCAGGGTGAATAATCTTTAAGCATTGTTTTTGGACTCGTTAAATATTGCGACAGTGAATTGTGAAACACTTGTGCCGTATATATTCCAAGATTGGACAGGCACAGTAAATTTTTACAATGTCGTTAAGTGGAAGTTTTGCCCGCTTTAGTTGTGTAATCAGATATATTTGCTTGGCTGCATGTCAAACAATTATCTCAATGTTAGCCAGTGTGCAGGCCCACCAAGGGAAGAATAGTGGGCCTGCAAGGAAGACCCGGTATTTTGTACTTTCTGTGTTCACCCACGAACGCAGCATTCTGAGTGCCTGTTTGCTGTTGGATTCTATAATTAGAGCAGCAGTCATTCATCACAATGGCTCTCGATAAGCTTTTAAAATTGGATCTGATCACTTTTTTCAATTAAAAATAGAACAAGAACAGACTGTTTATTGTTTACTTGAAGGAAGAGATGTTTTTGCTGTTATGCCAACAGGGATTGCTTGTCGTTAAGTGTTGGAATAGCAACATTACCACTGGGGTAAACTCATAGATATCTTCTATAAACTAAATAGTGCATCTCTTTTAGTAAAATTGAAGCCAAGAATATTCCAGTGGTTACTCCCAGTTGAATAGATGGTGGCCATGTTGGAGTTTCCCACTCGCTAATAAACGCTTAAAAAACAACAATAACTTTCATCATTTGAATAGTTTGAAAATGTATTTGGAATAGGTTAAACTTAATGTTTAAGCTCCCTGTTTAAGAAACAGAAAACATACGAGTCTTCTCATTTCATGGGAATATCCTGCGTCTGCAATCACAGCTTCAATTTTTGAATTCCAGAATAATTAGATGCACTATCTAGTGTATATAAGATATCTATGGGTAAACTATAGTAACCCTTTACTCGAGTTTCATTAATTTCAAACAGACTTGATATGTTATATGTTCCTCAAGAAAATAGCGCTTTTGACGGTGAAGATTTAGAGGCAGTTGCATGTAAGCCTATTCAAAACACTTTGCGATTTGCAGGGCATCGCTGAGAGAGCGAAACAGAAGATGCTAATTGCTGTTTGAAACAAAACACTCTGAACGCTCTTTTCTTTTGTTGAGTTCTATACCCAAATGAAATAACTGAAATAAATTTTGTACTTTCTGCAGCCAACAAGAAGTGAGACAATCTATTTATAATAATGGCGACAGAAGCACACATTAATGCCAATGAGGTTATATGACTTCCCTTGCAATTTGAAATTTGAGACAGGGTTTCTGTTGAAAATTGCCCTAATTTGCCTCTTCAGATTTTATTTGATGAGCACTTGCAAATTTGGCAATCACTGTCTGTGTTACTTGCTTTTTTGGAGTTAAAACACAGCCATTTTAATAAACATTGTTCTATTCTGAACAAGTAGAGAAAACCCCGCAACATTTTAATGTAAGTTTGTTTGTCACTATTTGGGTTGATGTCATTGGTTCGTGTTATGAAAAGGGGCATTTTGCAAAACACCTGGTCTTCCTTGCAGGCCCACTATGCTTCCCTTGGTGGGCCTGCATACAGGCTATGTCAATGTGTTTATTCCATTTCAAATCATTACTTATAGTCACACCAAGGATCTTTGCATGTTTAACAGTTTCAAGTTCTTTGCCATTGACGAACATGGGATTGAAGACTCTAGCTTCATTATTGCGCCTTGAAAAATCAATATGAAATTCTTTACATTTACCTTCATTCAATTTTGCCAGCGAATTGTTAGTCCAGGCAATAACAACATGCCCCGTATAAATATAGTCAAAACATTGTATTTGCTGTGGTTTAAATATTCTATTAACCATACCTGCATTATGTAAAGTAATGTGTATTCTGTTGAGAATTTCCATGTTCGCTTTATTGTAGGGGACAAGCTGCAAATTTTTATTCCTGAAACTGCATAACTATTAGTGATGGGCGATACCGAGTACTCAGTATTCGATACCAGCGATACCACAAACAGCGGTATCGGTATATCGATTACTGACGTGGTATCGTTCTATACTTACACCCTTTTTTAGACGACTTGTTTAATTTTAGTTCTTGGTTGAATAAGACTTACATGGCCAGAAATCACGGACACTTTCATTTCTCAGGTTTCAAGTTACCACGAGCACCCACGCAACAATGGCTGTGCAA